TACTACTACTACTACTACTACTACTACTACTACTACTACTACTACTACTACTACTACTACACAAATGATTACATCAATAATACCTATGGCATCAAGGGCAGAAGCGTTGGAAACTAGATCATCTGTTTGTCCTAATGAACATTTCCAGCAACACTATCAACAGTAATGAAAACCATAATAATATTATCACAACAACGCCATCAGCATCGGCACCAACGTCTCCAGCAACTGAACAAGCACCAACGACAGCAACAACAGTAGCACCACCAAGTTGAACCAGCAGCAACCACAACGGCGTGATACCTCAACACACAGACAACCAGAGTGATAACAGAAGCAGCGAGCGTTGGTATCCGAGCAACGGGCTGGTCTTGTGGACTGCGCCCATCACATCCGAGATGCATTCTGTGCTTTACGATGTGTAGCTTAATATCGTGTTCACATTCGTACAACTGCTTACTAATCAAGGAGGGGTCGTGCGTGGGTGGTGGGGACCCCATATATGGGATGAAATCTTTAGTACTAGACCAAGCGACTTGAAACTGAATTATTGGTGCCATAACCATTTTGCAATTTCTTTTTTTCTTCTGTTTTGTTTTTCAATGGCCGCCATCTGGAATATTACGCCACTAAAAATACGCTACTTCTCCGAACTTTACCGATTGAATTTTTTCGCGTTCAGAAATAATATGTAGACAAGAGGATCATCGTTCCACCGGATAAGGACTCTCCTCTGAAAAATCCTGCCTTTTTACTTTGCACGGTGTCGGCCCGAGAAGAGAAGATAAAACGAGCTCGTATCGTATTTAGAAAGTAAAACTATACGTATGTTGTATGAACTTTCAGCTGACTCAGCTTGAAAAGACTGAACATGCAACAGGTGGCCAGTCTGATCTTCCTACCCTGTCCGATTGTTCTCCGATAAAAGAACAGACCAGAACAGTCAGATGGGTGGGTACACTGTTTAAAATAAATCCCGCGCTTTGTTTGATGCGTGGCCTCCTTGCACTGTCAGCGAATCGATAGCAACACAGTTGGGAAAGACAGTCGACAGGGAATTGTGTGACGGTACTGTCTCTTTAGCAATGTTCTACTATCACTGCAGCTTCTACCTGTTTGGGGGTTGAACAGCTTGCAAATCGACAAAACAGCGGTGATGTTTTGTTTGTTTGGGTAAAGAGCAGCTATCGACATAACAACGGTCATTTAGTGCTAGGGGGGAAAGCAAGAAAGACAGTCAGATAGAAACATCAAAGGGAAAGAAAAGAAGTAGGATCTATCAGTGGCGCCGTCCAAACGTCGGCAAAACAATAGGAAAAAAGGGGAAAAAACCCAGTCTGCCAAATTGTACAGGTTTAACGCACCTTGTGTTACTAAGGTTTTAAACAGGCGGGACCTCTGAATTTAACATCCATGTTCAAAAGTACAGAGCCAAAGGGGAAAGTCTGTGTACAGTGCTTTTCCCGCGGACACAACTTGGAACAGAGCTGAGTCTTGAGTCCCGAACCCCGCACCTCTTTACTGATATTTGCATTGACTACAACTGATGTAAAAAAATAATGGTAATTTCTCGTGTTGGGAAGAGCAAGACATGCAGAAACAACGTTAATCAGCAAAGAAGTATGATTAACCTCACAGTAGATCTCTCCAACCGAACCGAACAGTCATGTAGGATACTATTCAATATTTATTTATAGATATACCAGCAATCTGTCTCGTTGGGCTGCTTCAGATGTTGCCTCTGCTATCTTTTGGTTCCCTTTCCATGTATTTTCTGAGTCTAAAATCTGTATCTCAGTTTAGTATCCAAGAATTTGCCAATTCTACTTCTACTCCTATAACCACTATCATCACCACTTCTATAACTACTACTACTACAACCATCATCTTCCACAAGTGTAACAACAACACTGCTTCTGACTCTGACGTGGTTTGCTCCCTCTTTCTTATTCTTATCCCACACCTATCGT